TATCCAGTTGTTCCAACATCATTTGTTGAAAAGACTTTGCTTTCCCCATTGATATCCTTTCACCTCCACCTCTTGCCATAACCAGAATCTCCCTGGCCCTTGAAAAGTGGCTTCTTTTGAAGTTCTCCGAAGTGTGGAACGCTCAGTTTCCCACCCCCAACATGACTGGGGGTTAGGAGGTAAGATTGACTAGCACTCCATTCTCCATTGCTGTTTCTATACCATGACTCCTTTGTCCTCTTGTCGAAATCTACACTTCTTGAGGCTTACTCCATCTGAATCAATCCTAATTGGTGTTATCTGCCTTCCTATCACTCCTTGCTCACTGAAGACATTGTTAATTGGCATGGAAACTTTCCCCCTGTTCCAAGTCCTGATATCAACCCTGGGTGACATCTACATCCATGGGGACACCTCTTCCAACACCTTCTCTGCCCTCCTCTCCAGGCTCTTTTCTGATGGCAACTTCTTGGACACTGTCATCACTGAAAACAATTCCATGCTTAAATTCTTGAATTCAAGCAGTTATTCTGATAACAACCTCTTCTTTTTCTCTCACTTTGTTATTCTCACAACACCCAGTCTTTCATCTTATTCTGAACTCCAATCCTTGACCACTGTCCTTTTTCTTTACTTATTCTAACTTCCTTCTCGCTGGTGCTTAGTTTCCCACGAATATTTGCTTCTATTATTCATCTTTTGTTTCATCCTCCTTATCTTCACGTTGTAGTTGCTGGATATAACTCCAACACAGTCTGCCTGCCTCACTGTGTACCCTTGCTGTTCCCCACTCCCACTTACCTTCTCAGTTCCATGTGCCCTCTACAGACCCTGGGGCAGGGTAATTGGGAAAATATTGTGTTAAGTGAAAGAAGCTTGTCACAAAAGAACACATATTGTATGACTCCTTTAATATGAAATGTCCAAAACAGTAATATATAGGGGCAGAAAATTGTTTAGTGGTTGCTTAGGGCTGGGGGTGGTAGGTGAGTGAATAAGGGAGATGGGGGTGATAGCTAAGGGGTATAGGGTTTTTTTTGGAGGTGATGAAAATGTTCTAACATTGTGGTGATGACTGCACAATTTGGTGAACTGTGTTGTACATGAAATATACCTCAATCAAAGTTGTTTAAAGAAAAAACAGTCCAGGTAACATCAGCAAAATGATGGACTGGGAAGCTCCAAGCTCTCATTCATCCATGGAAACTTGAAAACACACAAATGCACACACAACCCAAAACCAAACCAACCAGCCAACCAACAAAACAAATAAAACTCCCAAGGCTGGCTGAGCTACAAGCACTGGAAAACAGTCAAAGATCAAGAGCAACCAAGTGAATTCTCAATCAAGAAAAAGTTGCCATCAATATGGTAAGAAATTCATGCCATTTTCACTGTCTTTGTTCCTACATTGTCTCCAGCATAATTCAGTCTTGATTTGGAGGATGCTGAAGCCCTCTCAAATCAGAAGGAACAAAGCAAGCCTTACTGCAGTGTTCTAATCTGTCTAGGGACTGCCTGAAGTTCTGGTCTCTGTTTTGCCTAACTCAGATCCCAGGAAGGATAAGGAATGGGTATTGCTTATGAAAGCTGCCAGAAGACTACAGATCTGCAGATACTTGGAGCGAGAGATTATTAATGGAGACATCTAAAGGACAATGTAGGCCCCCAAAAGAAGCTAGGGTGAGATTCTTGGGGAAATTACAACATGTAAAAGAAGCTGTGTATATGGGGGAAATGAGAAAGCCACATTCATGTCCAGGCAAGATACATACTCAGGAAAAAAAAAAAAAAAACAAAGGAGATCTTCAGTTCTCATCTTGGGCTTATCCCTGGATCCAGAGCATGCCCAGCTAATCAGTGAAGGTCTTCTCTGGCGCATAACCAGTCTGCAAAGACTGGGGAAAGAGGTTGCTTCTTTCGAATACCCAATTTTCAACAATAACAAAAAAAAAATCATAAAGAACAAGAAAACATAGCCCATTCAAAGGAATAAAATAAGGCGACATAAACTGTCCCTGAGGAAGCTCACGTATCAGACTTATTAAAGACTTTAAAACAACTGTCTTAGGGATGCGTGGGTGGCTCAGTTGGTTAAGCGTCTGACTTCGGCTTAGGTCATGATCTCGCAGTTCGTGGGTTTGAGCCCTGTGTCAGGCTCTGTGCTGGCCACCAGCTCAGAGCCTAGAGCCTGTTTCAGATTCTGTGTCTCCCTCTCTCTCTGACCCTCCCCTGCTCACGCTGTCTCTCTCTCTCTCTCTCTTTCTCAGAAATAAATAAAAAACATTAAAAAAAATAAAAATAAAAAAGGAGTTATTAAAAAAATAAAATAAAACAACTGTCTTAGATACACTCAAAGAGCTAAAGGAAAACATAAATAAATTACTAAAGGAAATTGGGAATACAGTGAAACAGTATATGAACAAAATCAGAATATCAACAAAGTATAGAAATTATAAAAAGGAACAAAACAAATTATAGAGCTGGAAAATGAAATAATTGAATGATAAATTTACTGGAGGGGTTTAATAGCTTATTTGAGCAGGGGGAAAAAAGAATCCATAAATTTAAAGATAAGAATGCTGAAATTATTGAGTCTAGGATCAGGAGCAGAAAGAAAAAACAATGAAAAAAATGAACAGAGCTTAAGAGACCTATGGGATACCATCAAGTAGACCAGAGTATGCATTATGAGAGTTCTAGAAAGAGAAAAGAGAGAAGGAGGCGGAAAGATTATTTGAAGAAATAATGGCCAAAAGCTTCCCAAATTTAGTTAAATACATGAATCTGCAAATGCAAAGAGTTCAAGAAACACCAAGTGAAATAAATGACACTCATACCAAGACACCTAATCAAATTGTTAAAAGGCAAAAAATAAATCTTGAAAGCAGCAAGAGAAAGGGAACATGTCATGTACAAGGTATCCTCTGTAAGATAACAACTGATTTCTCAGTAGAAACCTTGGAGGACTGAAGACATTAGGATGATACACAGTTGACATTCAAACAACAGAGGGGTTAGGTGCACTGACCCCCATGCAGTCAAATATCTGTATATAACTTTTGGTCCTGCCCACCCCCAAAAAACCCTTAAGTACTAGTAGCCTACTGTTAACTAGAGCCCTTATCTATAACATAAACAGTTGGTTAACACATAGTTTCGATGTTATATGTATTATATACTGTAATCTTACAATAAAGTAAGTTAGAGAAAAGAAAATGTTATTAGGAAAACCACAAGGAAAAGAAAAAATCCACAAATAGGCTGATCCATATAGGCCAAACCCATGTTATTCAAGGGTCAACTGTATTTAAAATATTTAAATAAGAAATCTGTCAATCAAGAATTCTATATCCAGCAAAAATGTCCTTTAAAAAATGAAGGAGATAGTAAGACATTCCCAGTTAAACAAAAGCAGGGAATTCATTGCCACTAGAAATTCCCTGCCCCCTTCCCCCCCCAAAAAAATGCTAGTAAGAGTCCTTTGGGTTGAAATGAAAAGACCTTAGAGAGTAACTTGATGTTAGGTTAAGATATAAAGATCGCAGGTAGAGGTAAATATATGGGCAAACAGAAAAGCCAGTACATTTCGCTTTGTAACCCCACTTTTAAAAAATATTAAATTTAAAAGACAAATGCACAAAAGTAATTATAAATCTTTGTTAGTGTACAGATTTATAAAAATGTAATCTGTGCCATCAATAACATAAAGTAGGGGAGTATACCTGTCTTTAGTGATTGAAGTTAAGTTGGTATCAATTCAAATTAGACTGTTATAATTTTAAGTTGTTATATATGATGCTCATGATATCCACAAAATATACTTATAGAATATACCAAAAAGGCATAAAAAGGGAATAAAAACATGTCTCTACAAACTAAAAAAATTAAAGTAGAGGGAATACTTCTTAAGTCATTTTGTGAGGCTAATATTACTCTAATACCAAAACCAGACAAAGATATTACAAGAAAGGAAAGCTAAAGACCAATATCCTTTACCAATATTAAGGTAAAAACTCTAGCAAATTGCATTCAGAATCACATTAGCAGGATTATACAACATGACCAAGTAAGATTTGTTCCTGGAACGTAAGAATGGTTCAACACATGAACATCAACCAATATAATACACCACACTGACAGACTGAAGGAAAAAATCCACATGATTATCTCACTTGATGCAGAAAAAGCATTTAACAAAATTCAACAACTCTCTTGATAAACACTCAACAAACATAAAAAACTTGATAGAAACTCAACAGCCTCAATATGATAAAGGCCATATGTGGAATACCCATAGCTAACATCATACTCAATGGTGAAAGACTCAAAAATTGTCCCAAAGATCTGGAACAAGATGAATGTATTAGTTTGTCAGTGCTGCCATAACCAAATATCACAGACTGGTAGCTTAAGCAATGGAAACTTATTTTCTGACAATAAGGAGTTATTGCTTAATGGTTACAGATTTTATGTTGGGGTAATGAATGTTTTGGAAATACATAGGGTGATAAAGGCTCAACATTGTGAATGTAATTAAATGCCATTGAAGTCTACTCTTACAGAGTTAAAATGGTAAATTTTATATATATTTTAGTGTGCCCCCTAACCCCCCACACACCTCAAGGAACCAGTGACTTATAAAGCCCACTTTGGAAATGCTGACCTAATCCATTCTCCTCACCATATAGACCACTTGATCAGCCTGTGTAGACTACTTTCCATATTCCCAATTTGCTGTGCTCTCTCTGACCCTAAGGCCTTTGTACAAACTGTTCTTTCTGCAAGAAGAGCCATTCTCTCCCACCCCATGATGAGATGGCTAACTTGTGCTTATCTTTCAAGTGTTATTTAAACATCAGTGAACCTTCCTTCAGTGAACCTTCTTAGATATTCTCTCCTATCCACATACAGTCTTTGTAACACTTCCACCTTGATAGTATATATCAGGCCCTTTTTATTTGTTATTTACTTGTACTTATCTACCAGTAGACTGTTACCTTTATGGAGGAAGAGCCACAGGTGTCCTGTGAAGTGCTGCGGTCTGGCACCTTGCACAGTGCCTGAGAAACAGCAGGTGCTCTAGTACCATTTAAAGAAAGAAGGAAATAAGGGAGGGTGAGGTGGACGTAGGCCTCCTAAAGACCACACCTCCACCTCCACTAATTTAATCTGTGTCTCTCTTCAGTTTCAGGAGAACCGTTTGTTCCTCCCTTAAAGTATTCAGTGATATCTTCCTTCTGTTTTAGTTTTCTGCGCAGATATTTTCATCCTGTGAGCACTCCAATTGTTTCTGAACCCTCCCCCCACAGTACTTTTAATAGACACTTAATAAATAATCAAGCGGGCACATTAAAAAATAATATGTTGCAAACAGAATATTCTGGCCTTTTGTTGTCTTTCATATGTAAAGAGTAAGAAAGGACCACAAAGTCTCCCAAAGTCTGTTAGTTTTCAACTAGAAGATGTTGCTTTTTATGCACCTTTGGTTTCAGATGACCAATGTGGAAATTGTCTTGGAATGTAAAAGTATCAGAACGTGACTTCTTTTGTTGTTATTTTAAGAAATACTTGCTCTCCTTCTAGTCACATTTTGAACTGTAGATCTTTAACTTATAAACAGAAAATGCAGGAACTGGTGGTATTGATGGGGGTGGGGCCTGGGGGCAGTGGCAGAGAGAGCTCCGGAGCTGAATTTTCTATCAGTTACATTTCCTAAGAGTGAGGAGACTAAGAGAGTGTCGAGAGAGGCCCAGCCCTGGCCCTTGACCTCCAACCAGAAGCTGGGGGCTTTGGCCACTTCAGGGTTATGAAGTTTCCTCTTTGGGAACCCCAAGCTTGTTGGTCTCAGCAGCCAACTGTTGACCTAATAAGCCCACTGCCTCCGCCATATGATGTGTGCATTAATGATACATAACATCCACAGAATGGAAGGGCCCAGATATGCTATGAAATGGTAGAATTTTCCAGGCTCATTTGCTGCCATATCATCCTCAGACGGATGAATATTCTGTCTATCCTCATGGAGGTGAGCATTGAGTATAGAGCCCATTGGAGCTTCGTATTTACTCCCCTCTCCTCCTTTTGTGCACAGATAGGATTTCTGGTTCTGCCCACATGTCTTCACATGAGAAGACAGAGGAATTATTTGGATATGAAATCAGGACCTCACAAAGGAAAGAAACTTCCTAAATCTGTTAGAAGTAAGGCCTATCTGAACTGAAATCAGTAACACTAATCCCAGTCCAGGACTCTAGTAGCAAGAAATATGCCAAGGAGTCCTTTCTGGGAAAGTTAGAGAACTGTTTGATGCTTAAACATAAGCATAGAGAAATGCCATGAGTAATGGCTACAAATCATACAAGGGTAAAGAAATCAGAAATATGCCCTAAACACTAATTCTCTTAAATTCTCTAGGCCACTGTTCTCATCCCTGAGAACTTCTCATTCTCTCTGTCTCTGGCTGGCTGGCTGGTCCTTATGGAAAGTCTCTGCCTCCCACCGACCAGAGTGAAGAGCCCCAATCACTTACCCAGAGCAGTGTGGGAACTTTTGTGTGGTGGTTGCAGGGAGGTGAGAACTCTTGGCAGGTTTCTGGGCTGGACAAGGTGGGGAGCAAATTCCCTCCAGGATGCCCCACAGATTGGGCCCTTAAGACGATCAGGGTCGGCCAGTGTTGAGAGTATGGGAGTTTTGGGAGAGGTTCCTGGAGTGCCAGGAGAGGAGGTAGCAGTTGGCCGTTGGGGAGGCAGTTGGGGAAAGTTCCAGGAAGTTCCAGTGAGCAGCTAACATAAGGAGTGCGTAAGAATAGGAAAAGAAGAATGGGTGGGTTTTCCCACATTCCCTCTTCCAAGGATTCTAAAGTAAAGAGCAGAAATCATGGAGATGGAGACGATTCTCTTACCATTTCTCCTACCTTTCAGGATACACTGTGAGACAGGCAGAGAGGCAGCAGGGATACACAAAGAGAACGCTGTAGAAGAATAAAGAGATAAACCATTGAGACCAGAGTCCCAGATAGACACAAACAAGTATAGAGCAAAAGGCACAGACAGAGGTGGGATTGGCAATCTTACTTGGGGTGAAGCAAGAACCTCTTCTCCAACGAGTGTGACCTGGAGCCTCAGAAGAATGCAGAACAACACTTGTTCAAGCCCAGGAGCTCCCAAGGCTGTGTAGACTGTTTTCAGCAGGTAATGTTCTACTAGAATGGGCAGTTGAAGCTCCTGTAACAGGTGATCAAGACCAGGGCAAGTCCCTGGCTTTCAGGACTTAGGTTTCCTGCTGTTTTAAATGACCACATCTGGAACCACAACCTTGATATCCTTCTGGAAATTCCTCCCAGGAAATTCAAGAAGTTAGTGGAAATCCAGACATCCCAGATGAATTATGTCAGAATCTATGAGGGTAAGGCCTAGATCAGTATTTTCAAAGTGCTTCTCATGGGATTCTAATGAGCAGCCAGGTCTTAGAATTGCTGTATTAAACATACATCGGTGGTAGGCATTTGCCAGATGCGGAAAGCATGAACATGAATGAGACTCAGACCCTGCTTCTGATGAGCTCAAGGCTGAGCAATGAACATAAGCATTAAATAAAGTGCAATGACAAAATCGCCAGTAGTGTGCTGAGTTTGGCCATGGAAGCATCTCTAGGGCAAAGAGGAAGGGATATTAGATATGTGTTTTATTTTATGTATCTTATAATGATTTGACATCTTAAGGGCCTTGCTGGTTGGGGAGAGACGGCCCTTCCAGGGTTAACTGATACTTAGAAATCTTGAACAACTCACCTTGGAACACAGCTTTCATATGCAAACCAACAATCCTGAGTCCATACCCTCCAACAACCTCCTTTATCCAGCCCTCACCCACTGAGCCAATAAACAAACCCCTGTTTTACACCACCTGAGGGCCAGGCATCAGGCAACTGGACACTACCTACCTAGCTCAGAGCATGCTGGCATTATTCAGACTACCAATCCTAAGCTGTTTACCCTGTCTCACCCCTTTCTTCCCCTGGAAAACATAGTAAAGGCTCTGGGGCAGGTGTTTCCCTTATCTCTGTCTTCTGATTGGCGCCAGTCCTTTCCCAGGTGGTATGGTATGCCCTTTTCTCTTGGAAACAGTAAGTAATAAATTCTTTCAATGGCTTTGGCCTTTCTGTGTCTCACTTGGTCACCTATATAAAGTAAAATCCCCTAGGGGCACCTGGCTGGCTCAGTCAGTCATGTGATTCTTAATCTTGGGGTCGTGAGTTCAAGCACCATGTTGGGCATGAAGCCTACTTAAATAAATAAGTAAATAAAAGTAAAATCCCACAGTGCAATCAAGACAGAAGCAATGACTATCTTATAAGAGGGAGAATCAGGGAAGGCTTTGAGAGAGAAGCAGGAGAAGAGTATCCCATAAGCAAAAGCATTGAGGCATAGAAGGGTCCCAGCAGTTGGTGGACTAGAGCAGGATGGAATTGCTGGAGCATTTAGCATAGGTGACCAATGGGGTGAGGAAGGGGATGGGATGCAGGTGGGGAAACCACGGCATGCTGGGGAGTTTATTCTTGCTCAAATAAAAGGTAATTTATGCACTTATTTGCTCTCCAACAGGCCCTACCAACTAATCTATTTCTCAGTTTGGGTTTCTGTGATATTAACAAGGTCATGGTAGGGACCCTCCACACTGGCACCAACATTTCTGGCCCAAAGGAGCCTATGGAAAAGAGAATAGACTGCAGAACCAGGCAGAGAAGATTCCTCTTCCTGAAGCAGAGCATGGGCCTTGGGTCTGAACTATGGACCTATCCCCGTGGTCAACCTTCTTACTCACTTGGCCCATTTCATCATCTTTAGAATGGGCACACTAATACATGTGTCATGGCTGACGTGCAGATGAGGAGGGAAAGGGGAACACAGTTTTTGATCTTTCATATATTTGTTTCTATCTTTACCCCCTTCAACCAGGACTCATACTAGATCTGATGAGAACAAAAAGAAGCATGTTCCATCAGAACTGCAAGATAGCAGCTCATGAGAGGCCAACCAGTAACAGTTCAGTAAGAGTGTCTCTTCCAGTCAATACTCATAAGGTGGTCCTTGTAGGTCTACAGAGGGGCCCTGAGATCTGTTGGCTTATCCAGTGTCAGCCTCCATCATCTTGCTGTACTAAACTGAGGCTTTGGAACTTTCTTGGTTCCACGTCCCAGGAGAGCCTTAAGAGGAAGCTGCAGGGCAAATAGATGTTGTAAAATGCCACATGAGTTCAGATGCCTCTATTGTCTCCTGAACTTCTCTGCAGAAAGGAGAGATTGAAAATAGATGGTCTTTTCCACCTCTTCTCTCTGCCTCTAGGTACCTTGCACCCTTGAACACCTTGGACCATCACGCCTATCCCAATGACCTTGACTGAGCACCGACTGGTACCAAGCAGTGTGTGAGAATGTAACCAGTGCTATCTCGTTTAATCTTCCCCGTAGCCCTATGATGTGGGCACTATTGTCCCCACTTTACAGCTGAATTTTGGTGTCGTATAGTTAGTAAACGGAAGACCCAGATCCCAACCCAAACCTGTCTGAATCCAATCCTTTGTTCTTATTATCCTCACTAGGATGTCCTGGACCAATTTCAGTCCAAAGGCCTGTTGATGCAAACGTTCCTTTGTTGCAACAAGCTCCATCTCTGATTCTGAACTCGCCTAAAGTGCAGGGGTCACACAGGACATTTTGTATCCCCCTCTTAGACACCTTTCTCCATGTGTCATCCATTCTCTAAAGTCATTCAGTTGATAGACATTCACTGGGGTCCTTTCCAGGCCAAGTACTACATACCTCTGAGGATGCATCATCCTTGCCACTACATCCGTGTGCAACTAAGGGAGAAAAAGTGGTCTAAGCTGGGTTTGGAGACAGACTTTAGTTGGTCCCTTCTGGGAAAGGTGACTGGAATAGCTTCCAATTCAATGTAAACATTGTACAAAGACGTGTTCAAGCTCCGGGGATTTCCTCTAGGATAGATATACCACAGTGTTTGCCTCCATGGTTTAATGGGAAAGATAAGTATTTACTTAACCAACAGTGAAACCAGGTAGTCTCTGATAAGAGCTATAAGAAAATGTTCAAATAGTGGGAACACTGGAAAGAAATAAGAGCAATTAGAATTGAGGAAGACTTCACAGTGGAGAGGGTAATTGCAGTGAGTCTCAAGGGCTGCTTACTCAGCTCATCCTTTTTTTTCCTTGAGGGAGACTGGAATTCATGCATCACATCCTTCCAGCCTGCCTGAGCCCCAAGCTTTGACATCTGATTTTTTCCCTGTAGAGTCTGGTTTGATTAGCCTCGCCGCGTGCCTCACAGCTGCCCCTGGCTCAGTGCTCATGGATGGGGCCTCCAGAGTTACTCTCCAACAAGCCCATGCACCTATCAGTCCCTTCTGAGCAGTGGTTTGGTTGGAGGGCTGAATGCTGTAGCACTGCCCTGTGGATCAGTAAAGGCAGCCAAGTCACTAAGCCCAAAACCACTGACGGTAAGTGAGAATGGGGAGCTGCCAGAGGCCTGGCCCACATTTCAGTGTTCACAGACATCAGCCAAGGAATAAAGAGCAGGACTGGGACAGGGCCAGGCTCTTGCTCCTCCCTGGGAAAGTCATTTGAGACCTCATAGGAAAATTAGGCTGGTCTTCCTGGACCTTCTTACCTTCCTCTTCTCCTGGGTCTTGTCCACGACACTTAACTTGGGAGGGGGCTTTGTAAGGAAAGTACCCGCTAAGATGAAGGCAGATCTTTTGGGAACTCAGGGGGACTGCCTTATTTTATATGTGGCACCTATGGTTGTAATTATTTCTCAAAGCAACCCCAAGTGGATTCATTTAAAAGGGTTGGGGAAAGCTTCATCCTCCGTGGCTCCAGAGGGGAGATGGATCAAGCTACCCAGATGCAAGTTTCCAGCCTCCAGTTCCCAGTGACAAGATGACCAGGCCCTTATTGGGCCACCTGGAAAGCCACAGGGACCCATTAGCAAAATGCTTAGATAGGTCCCATGATGCTCTGCTAGGGCATCATAGAAGGGATTCCATTCTCATAAAAGGATGGATGTGGATCAGTGGTTCTCAATCTGTGCTCTTTGGAGGTCTTCAGGAACTTTGTGGGGTTTGGGAGGTGGGAAATATGTGTGTGTATATATACACACATGAACGTGAACATAGCTATATCTATATTTTAAATAATTCTGCTAGTAAATAGCCAAGATCTCACTGTATTAATTGATGTTAATTTATCTCTACTGAGCTTTTGGTATCTGTTCTTCCACCTTCTCTATACATGTTATCCCTTTTTATCCTCACAGATATTTCATGAGGTATGGGGTATATCTGCATTTTTCATACAAGGAACCTGAAGCACAGAGAATAGAAGAACCTTGTTCAAGTGGGGCGCCTGGGTGGCTTAGTCGGTTAGGCGTCCGACTTTGGCTTGGGTCATGATCTCGCGGTTCCTGGGTTCGAGCCCCGCGTCGGGCTCTGTGCTGACTGCCAGCTCAGAGCCTGGAGCCTGTTTCAGTCTGTGACTCCCTCTCTCTCTCTGAACTTCCCCTTCTCACGCTGTCTCTCTCTCTCTCTCTCCTAGAAATAAATAAAACATTTAAAAAAAAAAAAAGAAAAGAAAAGAACCTTGCTCAAGACCCACAGTTAGTAAGTGGTGGACTGGATTTGAAGCCAGCCATAATGCCTCAAGGCGTCTGCTCTTTCCCTCCACATTTTCCTGACCCATCCTCTA